GATTATATCATTTACAAACATATATAGTTTACTCCTTTTCTTTTTTTTAAGTTTATTTATTTATTTGAAGAGAGAGAGAGAGAGAGAGAGAGAGAGAGAGAGAGAGATTCCCTCCTTCTTTTCATATTTGAATGACTTTGTCTTGCCAAATTGCTCTAGTTAGAACTTCCAGTAAATTTTTAGACAGCAATGTTGAAAGCAGGCATTCTTTTCATGTGTATGATCTTAGAGAGATTATTTTCAATCTTTCACCATTGACTATGATATGAACTGCAGTTTTTGTTTGTTTGTTTTTCCCATGAATGCCCTTTATAATGTCGAGGAAGTTTTCTTATACTCTAAATTTGTAAAATGTTTTTGTTATGAAAGCTTTTTAGGTTTTGTCAAATGTTCTTTCTGCATTAATTAAGAGGGTTATGTGGTTTTTCCCCTTGATTTCATTAATGTTATGTGATATTTTGATTGTTTCTCTTATCTTGAACCACCTTGCATTTCTGGGATAAACTACATTTGGTCATGCTATATAATTTTTTTTTACTATGCTGTTGGATTTGATTTGTTCATAGATTGTTGAAGACTTTTTTATCTGTACTCAGTGAGATATTTTTCTGTAGTTTTTTAAATTGAAAATATGTGCATTCTGCAATGTAGCAACCCCACCCCGTGTGTGTGTGTGTGTGTGTGTGTGTGTGTGACAGAAAGATGAGAGAAATGACTTCTGGAGTACACCAGATATTTTCTAATAGAATGAACTGCATTCTGTATTTTTTTAAGATTTTTTTTTAAAGAAAGAGAGAGTGCGAGCAGCAGAGGGGCAGAGAGAGAGGGGGAGAGAGAATCCCAAGTAGGCTCCATGCTCCCAGGGCAGAGCCAGATGCAGGGCTTGAACTCACAAAACTGTGAGATCATGACCTGAGCAGAGATCAAGAGCCAGATGCCCAACCGACTGAGCCACCCCGACACCCCACATTCTTCATTTTGATATTATTTCCTCAATATTCACCAAAGATGACAGATTAGGGATTTCTCAGGTCTTTCCTGGGGATGTGTGTAGTCATGTACATGTATGTGTCTTTATAGTTAAGAAATATTTCAGAACTTTGAAAAACTCTGTATGGTCAATTCATTTTCCAATTTTTTCTTTTAACTTTTTTGGTCAGCCTTTTATTAGCTCTAATAATATTATTGCTTCAGGAAGCGCAATCTTAGACAATTTCTATTACTTGTTTTTGACTAATAGGGAAGAGGTTGTTCACAGTAAGTGAGTTTTGAGTCAGGACAAATAAAGATGCATCCTGTGAGGGGTTATTTTCTGGTACCTGCCAGACAGGTCAAATAATTAGAATCCTCTGGGAATGGATCTCCAAGACACTCTATGTCCCCATCCCAGGGGGTGTGGGGTTGTAAGAAAAATATAAATACTTTCCATTCATAGGTATTTCCATAATAAGTGACATGTCCCAAGAAGATGCCAAGGAACATTTTGTAGAGATTTAGAGACCAATGTAAGTCATATCATGATTAAATTGTGAAAAATACCAAAAGGGATGGGGAAAGAGTTGATGGCAGGCAAGGTAGTATGGAGAGATGGAGGACAGATGAACATGAAAACAAGATCAAGAGAGAATGCACGCTCATACTCCTAACCTCTTGAGGGTACACCTTTACGGCATGCACTTGTACTTATGACCATGCAAAATCTCACACACAAAACTAAAGAGTGAGATGTGGAAGGAGATGCACAAATGTATCTGGTGTCAGTTTACCGATTGTTTCTGACTCTTCTGACTATTTATACAGCTGCATGAATGTATCAGGAGGGCAAGGACTTGCTTTCTCTATTTCTAGAACTGTGTCAGGTATTGTAAACGTGACTAATAAATTCTTTTTAATTAATCAATTTGGGAGTAAATGAATCATGAAGCATGGCCATGAAATGTAGATTTTTTTTTTAAATAAGACCTATGGTGATGAAGCGTCTGAGGAAGGGAGTAAGGTTGCATAAAAGTGAAAAGGTCATGATACTGCAAGATTAGGCAAGCATGAGGAGGTGTCCATCATTTCTTCTCCTTCTGCTGGCAGTTCCAGAAATGGGAATGTGGATATTGGGGTGTGGTGGAGGTTAGTGGAGTAAAGTAGACTAAGAGGATGGCACATGGAGGAAATGATTGTTGGTTAGACAGATGTAATCCCATGTATCACCTTAGAAGTAACAGGTCAAATGAAGGGCTACGACCCAGTCTTATTTCTAAACCCATCAGATTGGAGGATATGTGAATAGATGATGAAATAATTACAGAATGATGAAGTAATTGGTTGCTTTGATCAGTGTTTACAGACTGAAAATGAGTTTTTCTCAGAAGCACCAATTTGCAAGACTTCCTAGAAAATCTACAGAACTAAGTGGGACACGTTGATTTTCTAGGGATGTAGCCCTATTTTATATTCTAAGTTTCTGCTATATGGAGCCCCAAGAGTGACCAAGACATGAAACTATTAACAGTCTGTTTGTCAATCTAGTGAATTTCTAGATAAAATCATCAAGACGGTAACAGATTCCTTTTTCATGCCCTGACTGGCCACCATACTTTTATTTTCAGTTTGTTCTTTCTCTTCATTCTATATAGATTAAATTTTTTTCCTTCTTTGGCTGAAAATTGTTCTGTGAATCTTAGCATCAGTTGAACCTCCTTCATGGCATTTTTCTTGATCTACCTCCATACCTACAACATTCTCTATATATTTCTAACATAGCACTTGCAATACAATTTTTTAATTTCATTTTTGGAATTTTATCTCCCTTTCCATTTAATGGCCTCCTTGAGAGTATGTGACAAGTTTTCTTTGAACTTGTATTCAAATTTCCTAATCAATGCTGGTGCACAGAGGACCTCATAAATATTTGATGGAATAAATTGTGAAGAGAACCTCTCCACTTACCTTGCATATTCTTCACTAATGAAAGGCAAAAACTATCTCTGATAGTTTCACATTACAAAATTGAGAACTTCAGTTGTCTCCTCTCCGGCCCTAGCAGACCAGGTTTAGCTACACATGCGCACACACACAGACATATATTTCCTGAGACAATTTCTCCAATTACAAAATTATCTCTCATTTTTTTTGCTATCCTTCATAGGTTTCAAATGGGCACAGTTAGCAAGTCATTTGTCTTGTTATGGATTTTAAGTAGGATGTACTGACCTTTATATGTATTTATCTTTAATGGATGCCTGTCAGCTCTTATTCCAACAACCAAGTATTCCAAAAGTTGAATCTAAGCTTTCTGCATGTGACAATCACTGTCACATTTTCTTTATGACTAGCTTTTCTCAAATAAACTGTGCAGTAATGGACTTCTCCCTTATTTGTTTTAAATTTTTAATTTCTATAAATAAGTTCAGAATTCCCACATATTCTGGATAAATGCTGTAAAACAAAATCACTTGATACTTTTTCTTCCAATATTACTTTAAAGGAGACACCCATAAAAACCTGAGAGCTAGGATAGAATCTTGGTAGGAACTGAATTCTAGGATGTCTAAGATGCTCCTGCCCTGTCTCCATGGATACAAGACAGAGATATATTTGAAAGCTGTCTAGCCCCAAATATCTAGTCTCCCCTCCCCCAGCTGGCCTATACCTGGACAGTTTATTTACTGTATATGTTTACTTATGTACTCTCCAGATGATAAATTTACCTAGATTAAAATAATCTCTCAATTCATCTTTCATCATAACTGCAAAATACTGTCAAATATCTCCCCTTCTTAGTCATTATCTATTTTTCAAATCTTATAGGTAAATTTTTTAAAAACTAAATTATGATAGAATTGAGTATTTATTTTATAAAATAAGACATTGAAAGTGTTTTCTGTCCCATCTCTTTTTAATTAATTCATCTGTTTACAAATGTTTAAATTGAGAACTTTCATATGACAGTTTGTTCATGCATATGAATAAACAAAGATAAATAATTTCTTCTGCTCTAAGAGTCACATATCTAGTATTTGCAAGAACCTATAAAAATGTATAAACACACATATGCACACATGCACACATACACACAGGATTTTTTAAATTTAATTTAATTTTTTAAAATTTGCATCCAAATTAGTTAGCATATAG